GAATGGAGGCAAAAAGAGATGGAGGGGGGGAAGGTGTTTACGCATCAGCAGAAAGGGGTTGACAGGCAAAAGGGGGTTTGGGGGAGTTGGCAGTGTTGAGGGTCTCCCCTAGGCTCTGCCACTCATTTGCAGGGTGACCTCGGTCAAGTCTCCTCACCCCCTTCTCTGCCTCCGCTTCCCTCCCCTTCTTCTGCTTTGAGGGCGACGGAGGGGAAAATAATCATCTCCCAGTTAATTCAGTAGGAGCATCCAGACCCCTCACGTGGGGTGGAGACCCCTTGTGCTAAGGGCAGCACAAGCACTCGGTCCTGTTCAAACTCTTGGAAAGAGACAGTTCACGTCCTGACGCTGGACGAAGAAAGGATGGAAGGGAAGGAATTATTATCTCTCTTTTACTAACAGGGAAACTGAGGCATGGAGCAGCCACCTGGCTGCTTGTCATCAGGGTCTACCGCTGTTCGGTGGCACTGGGACAAGCAGATGTGGGTGGTGGAGTGAGGATGGAGAGAAGCCACCACCTGCTCCAGGCATGCAAAGGAAATCGCCTGTCCCGGGAGGGTCAGGGCATGACACACACCGCTGCTCCCGGCCAGCCCAAATCCCAGTGCTGTCCGGGAAGGTGACCTCATCCCTGCTCCTGACGTCCAGCATCGTGACCCACACAGCCACGGGGGCCAAGGGCTGGCCATGGCCACCGGACACTGGGGGCAGAGGACTCACACCCCGGTCACCTCCTGGCAAGCAGAGAACCTTGCCCTGGCCCAACCTGACACCCCTGAGTGGGAGCCCAAACGTGGTGTGAGGTCATTTTATCCCTTCCTGAAGCCCTGATTTGATCTTCCTGCTGGTTCCCAGTCCGTCCCAGCCTGGAGAAAGCAACCCACAAACCACGAGGCTCCTCAGTGTGCACAGAGACAGCCTTGGGCTCACAGGTTTGGAATGGGGCAGGAGGAGAAACATGCCCAGGGCTGATGCAGAACAAGTGCCGCTTGGGGTGGACATCCCCCCCAACATCCATAAACCACCACGACCATCAAACCTATGCAGGAATGTCCACTTTCTAAGCAAAAAAGGCTCCTTCCCACCTCTGCCAGCCACTTATTTTCTGGCTGGTCCCTGCAGGGATGCCCTGCATCCCAAAAACCTGCTGCAGGGTGGGAGGCAACCTGCAGCGTTGCCTTTTCCATCCTGTCAGAAAAGGGACAGATGGCTCCGCTCCCGAATTTCATCTCAGCTGCCGGTGTCCTGGGAGGTGGAAGCCGGCTGCTCCCGGCGCTGGGTGTGTGCCCGGATCCGGCCGGCGAGTCCTGGCTCCCAGGGAGCCGCACCTCGCCTTGGCTGCGGCTCCCAACGCCCTCGGGGGGCCCCGGCTCCCGGTTGGGGCCTGTAGCTGTTCCTGACGTGCAGAGAGCACGGGGGACACGCTCCCACATCTCCTCACGTGGCTCCGGGTTGAGCAAGTGGGGACAGGCTCTGCTGGCGGGGAGTCTCTGTGCATCCCAGCCTTGCAGGCTGCTCGGGGATGGGATGAACGGAGAAAACCCCATTTCCCGGGGAAACCAGACTCTGGCCACCACCATACGTGCTGCTGGGAGCTCGTGGTGGGGACTTTGCCTCCAATCGACCCCGAATGTGACTGTCTGCAAGAAGGGAAGCAGCTCATGAGGTGTTTGAGTTGATCCCATCGCTGCTCAGGGCTCGGGGCAGGGTAGGAGAGTGTCCCAGAGAGAAGGTGCCATCAGGGGGGGACGAATGCAACAGCCCAAATCAGAAATGCTGGTGGTAATACCCAGAGCTGATCTTGTTGGAGGGCTGGGACAGCCAAGCTGTCTGCCATCCCACCGAGGCGGTTTAAAAACTCATTACACCATTCTCAGCTGCCCCTGCAGCAGAGCTGGCAGAAAGGGACATTTGCAGAGCACCATGGGGTGCTCTGATGTCCTCGGGTGGGTGTCCCTCTGATGTCCTCGGGTGGGTGTCCCTCTGATGTCCTGGGGTGGGTGTTCCTCTAACGACAGCCTGCTTGGAAGGCAGCAGTCCCCTGGATTTGCTGGTTGAAAGGCAGATGCAGGTTTGGGCACACCTGGGCCACCCCTGCTATGAACAATTTTTAGCGGGGAGCCGTGAGCATCCCCCACACCTGGGGCACCACAGGGACTGGGGGCAGAGCAGGAGGTGGGAGGAGCAGGACTTCTCCAGCCTTGCTCCTGGCATGGTCCCACATGAGTCAAAGCCGCCGGGCAGAGGCCAAACAGACTCATGGCACCTCCAGCCTTCCAGCCCCACCAGGCTGGTTCACAAATCCTCTTGGGAGAGTGATGCTGCCCCACCTGGGCTGCCACACCAGACATCTCGGCACCACACCAAGCATCATCTTCACTCTGAGGGTGGCGAGACACTGGCGCAGGTTGCCCAGAGAAGCTGTAGCTGCCCCATCCCTGGAGGTGTTCAAGGCCAGGTTGGATGGAGCTTTGAGCAACCTGGGCTGGTGGGAGGTGTCCCTGCCCATGGCAGGGGCTTGGAACTTGATGATCTTCAAGGTCCCTTCCAACCCAAACCTTCCTATGATTCTATGAAGTGTCATACATTTATTGTGCACCACGCACTTCCCCACTCACGTGCCAGGAAACACAGGTGTGGCCATGTAGACCAGAGCAGGACTTCACCATTCCGTGATTCTATGATTCTACGATCATGCCCTGGTGCTCTGCTGGTGCAAGATCCACAGCAGTCCAGAGTACCAATAGGACACCCAAAGGCATCCTTTTCATTCCCCCTAAAAGGGAAACCAGCTGCACATGGCCAAGTGATGGGCAAAGGAAGAGGCACCGTGTGTGAAGGGAGGGCTGTCTCCACGGGGGCCACAAGTGGGGGATGAAGGAGGACCATAAGCACAGGACAGGGACATATTGGTGCTTCCCCAAATACTCATGCAGCCTCCCACCTTCTGAGACCATGGACTCCCTGAGTCAGAGATAAGTCATTTATGGGAGGCAAACCAGCCCAGTTGGGCAGGGTTGGGTTGGGTTGGGCTGAGTTTGGAGACCTCTGGAGACCCCTTCCAGCCAACACACATAGGTGGGCATCACAAAGCGCATTAGGGAAACTCGCTCCTCCACTTTTTGGGGCCAAGCAGGAGAACACAGCCTGGGAGGACGCTGCACTGGGAGGTGCAGTGACACTGCACTGGGAGGACCCTTCACATGGCCCTTGCACTGTGGAGCATCTTAAATGGTGCATCGCCAAGAACCATGAAAAACAGCCTTAAATGTGAATTTGTGCGCACCAACACACCAACAGCAAAGCTTTGCCTTAACTTCACTGTAATATCTACATAGGACTTGGCATGACAAGGCCACATTTATGAGATGGCAAAAGCAGGATCAAGGCCACCAAAGCGACTTGCTGCCCCTGAGACACACGGTGAGAACTGAAGGTATGCCCACACGGTGCCTTGAGTTGGTTTGTTAGAAAGCAGTCCACAATTTGTAAAGATAACCACGGAATTTTTTTTTTTATTATTATTTAAAAAAAATGGAAGTAGAAAAGTTTGGCTGAAAATACTAACAAAAAAAAAAAATAGCACTCGCACAGGAAATGTTTCTGTTTTGAAAAGTTTGTCAATAGCTACAGCGATTTAAATCATAAAACAATCATTGTATAAAAACATTTATTTAAATTAAATATTTTATGCAAACTCATATCTACACTCATTCAAAATGCATAGAGTCACACAAAAAAAAAGATGGAATGTATTAGCTTAAAAACCAGTGAAGTTGTGGGGTTTTTTTTTTAAGTATTATTTGCAATTATTATTAATACACGTTTGGGACTGAAACCAGAAAATCATAGCCACGCTACTAACTAATCATTACCAAGTGCCATACAGTAAACACTAAGATTAATCATGTCATATAACTGATTTAAAATAAAGCTTCATCTTCATGAAAAGGAAGAGAACTCGAGCAATACAAAATCCGAGGGGAGGAATAATGGAAGGAATAAATCAATGTACAGCTTTATTACAAGCAATAATACGCCGGAGTTCGAAGAGGCATTGGGCGCTGCGGCTCGAAACGTGAAGCCTTCGCCTTCAAAGGATGTTTGATTAAAGAAAAAAACAAACCCAACCCGTGTCTGCTACATCATCACCTCTTCGCCCAAGTGCTCATCCCAGGAGGTGTTCCCAGCCCGGCGGGGAGGGCAGCTCACGCTGTCCCCACCTTCAGAGCGGCCGAAGGGGACCCATGGGGGGATGTGGGGTGCTGGCCGCGTCCTGCCTCTCCAAGCCCTCACCTTACCCTCCTCCGCAATGTCGAAGCTGAGCGCCACGGGGGTTGGCTGTCCCCCCCACCACGCGCCCCCGTGGCCAGCCGGACAGCATCCCTGGTGTCCCATCCCCTCTGGGGACGAAGCCCCCAACCCGTGGTCCGGGAACAGGGGGACAGGACAGGTCTCACCCCCGCTGGCGCCGTCAGGGCGGCTGCAGCAACACCGATGCCAGGAGCCGAGAGCGGCTCGCAGACCCTTTACCAAAATCTGCCCTTTCCCCTCCTTGCCCCCATCTCTGCCTTTTCCCCTTCTAGAGGAGGGGGGGATTGCCACTGTTGGGACTTCAGAGTTGCTTTTTATGGGGTACTGCCACCCTCTCGACTCCAAAGCAGAGCTGGGGGGTTCCTGAAATGGGAGGCAGCCTTTCCCACGCTGCTGGGAACATCTCCGCTTTGGAAGAAGGACTTGGCCAAAGGGCTTTGGCATTGGGAAATTCTGCCCCCCCCCCCCGGCCCCAGCCCCGTTGGGAGCAGGGCACCCCAGGCCTCGCCACAGGTGGTGAACCGACGACCAAAATCCTTTACCTACGCCACCGAGGAGACTCCACAACCCTCACGGTTCGGACTCGGTCACCCTTTGGGGTGGCGAGGGATGTCCCTGGGGAACAACGCCTCGTAATACTGTGTCGGGTCCTTCCTCGGCCGGTCCAGGCGGCCCCGGCGTGGGGTCTAGGAGACACTGTAGTTATTGTAGTAGGTGGCCGTGGCATCGGCAAGGACGGAGATGAGGCTGGTCTCGGAGGCATGGGAGCTGCCAGCCGCCGGGACGTGTCCGTTGACCAGGACCCCACCATGGTGGTCACCATGGCCAGGGTTGTTGAGATATTGGTCAAACTCGTTGCGGTCCATCTCCCCCAGGAGCTCAGCTTGGCTCAGCTGGTCCAAGGTGTCAAAGCTGTGGTGGTCGGGTGGTGGGGAGAGCTGGCCCAGGTGGGCATGGAGGTTGGGGGGGTGCAGGGAGGGGAAGGCGGGTGTGTAGTAGCTGGCAGGAGGAGGAGGAGGAGGAAGAGGAGGGCAGCTGGAGGCCGGGGGGATCATGCAGGTGGCCGGCGGTGGGATGGGGCTGAGAGGGTGGTGGTTGCACGGGAGGGAGCTGCCCGCGTACTCCGGGGAGTAGGTGGCTCCGGCGAGGTGGGAGCGGTGATGTTCATCGGAGCAGGGCGAGGAGAAGAAGCTCTGCTCGGGGTCTATGGCATCCAGCGGTGACATCTCCGGAGGGGTGGGCAGCCCGTAGGGGTAGGTGTCCACGCTGGTGCTGCTGCCGTTGCTGCTGCCCGGTGCATCCCGGTATCCCCGGCCGGTCGGCAACCCCGGGCGAGGTGGGTACTCACCCGGTCCCTCTTTCTCCCCACCAGCTCGGCCGCAGGTCCGCTTCTCCGGCACAGCGTTTTGGTCCCGCGTCAGGCTGCCCAGCAAAAACCCGGGGTCCACCCTCTTGCAGATCCGCTTGACCTGCTTCTTCCGCCGAGGCCGGTACTTGTAGTTGGGGTAATCTTGCATGTGCTTCACCCGCAGCCGCTCAGCCTCCTCCACGTAGGGACGCTTCTGCGAGAGGCTCAGAGCCTTCCAGGACTTGCCTGAAACGCAGAACAAAACTCCCCTTAGCACCCGCGGAGGCCACATCAGGTGGGGGATAGAAGGAGGGGTGACTCCCAAAAGCTTGTAGGCACACAACCCAAGGGCAAAGGAGGGGCTCCAAATCTCCGAGCCGGAACACGGAGGGTGAAGCACGCAAACCCCGCAGGAGGATGGAGAAGGAGGGGGGTTGAAGCCACCATAGATCCACCAACTCCCCCCATCCCAAGTCCCCAGACAAGGTGGGTCAGGGTTAGCTGAGCTCCACCACCAATAAATCAAGGCAAATAAACTCCCTCCAGCTCCACGGGCTGATCTCACAACGCCTCGCTGGGACGGAGAGCCCCGAGCGGGGACGGCCGAGGCCATGCTTGGCTGAGCAGGGGGTCAGGACGTGGCGTTCCTGGACGTGTCCCAGCCTGTGCCCTGCTGGGACTCGCACCCAGGTTGGTACGGAGACACGGGCACTGAGACCTCGCTGCTCCCTGTTTGACATACCCCAAATGTCCCCGAGATATAGGATAGAGAAGCAGCGACGGGGCTGGTGGTGGGGGGAGTTGTACCCCACGGTGAGGAGACCCGGGGCTGGTCCTCAGGGCAGAGGGAGAAATGAGGATACAGATCAAAGAGTTTGATGCCTTCCCATTGCCGAAGAGACAGCAGAAATACCAGGAATAAGCAGAGATGCTGCGCGGCAAAGCAGGGAAGAGAAAACCCAAACCAGCAAAGAAAACAACCGCAAAACTGTGCAGGGACACACAAAGTTTGGGTAAGCGGTTGGCCAGCAAAGCTGTGTTGCAATTCAGGCAGCTCTTTTTCAGGCTGTCTGGGCTGGTTATCGCTCTTTGCCCTCTCGGTTTTGCATAAAAAGTGGGGATTGGGATAAAGGGCAAACTGGATGGGGAGGGGGAAACAAATTTGTATTCAAAATGGGTTGTGATCCCCCAAAAGAAACAGCAGGAACACCACCCCACCACCCCCTGGACATGGAATATCGGGGTGGGATAGTAAGTTGGGGGACAAAGTGGCAAAGACAGGCCAGGAAGATGTGGGGGTCCCTCTTTGCACTGCTTTGGGGGCTCCCCGGCACTGGCAGCCTGGGGGTCTGTGCACCTCAGCGGGGTTGGCACCCGAAGGGTGGCAGGGTGTGCAGATGGATGCCGGTCCCCTGGGGTGGGGGACACCACCGGGCTTTGCACCCTGAGGGGCAGCCAGGGGGGGTGCACGCACCCAGAGTGTGAGTGACCGCCGGGGTTTGCACCCTGAGGGGTGGTGGGGTGGGTTCACGGGTGCCCGCTCCCTTGGGGTGCGGGACCCCAATCAGGCTTTGCACCCCACAAGGCGGCCCACGGGGTGTTGCCGCAGGGTGCTGGACCCAGGTAAGGCTTTGGACCCCCCAGTGTGGCCATGTGGGTGCATGGGTGCCTATCTGCTTTCCCATGGTGGGGGCGGGAGGATGTACGCACCCCAGGGTGCCGGTGCCAGACCCCAGGAGGGCTTGCACCCCGCGGGGTGGCAGGGAGGGTGCATGGGTCCCCATCCGGGCAGGGTTTGCACCCCATGGGATGACCGATGGGTGCATGGTGCCCACCTTGGGGTACCGAATCTGGACAGGGTTTGGACCCCCTGGGGATGGCCGGGTGGAGTCATTGGTGTCCACCCCGGGGTACTGAGTCTGGACAGGAATTGGACCCTTGGGGATGCCTGGATGGGTGCACGGGTGTCCACCCCCAGGGTATGGGATCCCGAGTGGGTTCGCATCCCATGGGATGCCCAGGTGGGTGCATGGGTGCCTTTCCCTGGGGGTACAGGGTCTGGAGAGGGTTTGCACCCCAGGGCATGCCCAAGTGGGTGCATGGGTGTCCAACCCCCGTGGTGTGGGATCTGGACAGGGTTTGCACCCCATGGGATGGTCGGGTTGGGTGGCTGCACCTCAGGGTGCCAGACTCGGAGCAAGGTTTGCACCCCTCAGGGTTGGCCGGGTGGGTGCACGGGTAGTCCATCCCTGGGTAGTCCATCCCTGGGGTATGGGATCTGGACAGGGTTTGCTACCCATGGGATGCCCGGGTGGGTGCATGGGTGTCCACCCCCGGGGTATGGGATCTGCACAGGGTTTGCCCCCCATGGGATCCCCGGGTGGGTAGTGGATGCCCTTCCCCGGGGTACGGGATCCGGAGAGGGTTTTCACCCCCGGGGATGGCCGGGGGTGGGGAGGGG